ATGCTGTCAGGGCTAAACCCCGAATCACACCGATTTACGGCTGCTATCAATGTTGACCGCCATTCTGCATCTTTGGGAAAGCCAAAGTAATTAATACACTGTCCTGTTTTCTTACTGGAGTTGGTACAACCGACCACACAACAGTGTTTGCCACCCATTGTTTTACCCCTGGAGCAAACCGGAAGTTGCTTTCTATACCACCCGGTGGGGGCGCTGCGAACATCGGGAAGCTCCTTGGTTGATTATGGAGCGTGACGTCATGGAGTCGGCGGTCCCGTTAATTTAGGTCTATGGTTCGCTTCAACTTAATTAACTCTTAAACCGAATTAAATTTTAAACATGCATACAGGTGTGTTTCTATGTAAACGTTTGACTATTTAGACCAGACAATGTTTGAAACATTTAATCAATTCGATTTATTTCTCAAATCTGAGATGCCCTATTAATTTGGTTGAGACAAAGCCTTTTCAAGAGTGCATGGCGGGCCAATTTATTGTTGACAAGCGATAAGCGGTCCCTTCGGAAAACCTCGGCCCTGCTTTCTCAATCGTGCTAGTGTTCCAGCCAGCTACGTCAGCAAGCTGTGACGTAGGCTTCATCCATTGTTTGCATTAGATGAGATTTTCTTTAACTTTGAGACTTTTCACACAAGTAGGACCAGATAACTATGTCAACATGTATTATCTCAAGTAAGTGACGTACATGTTACTTAGCGATTACTCCAGTACGGGTAGGTGTGGTTATTAGTCACAAATCGGGTTTTACTGGAGACGCCAGCGAATGTGAATGACATTTAGGGACTTCATCGCATAAAGATCTAATAACGGTATAGAATTACGAAATAATGGAATCAAACTTACTTTCGGACTCCCAGTTTGAAAATATTTGAAGTACGAATACAAACTTGTGGGTTTTTTTTAAACTTTAAAGTGACTATAACTTTTTTTTTAAAGAAATTGATTCGTTTTCAGTTTATTTATTTTTTTCATTTTTATCTCCCTTTGAACTACACCAAATAATTAAAGTCTCGTAACGTCTTCTTAATTTAATATTGAGTTTCTCCCGAAAAAAAAAATTAGTTAATCAATCAATTAATAATGCAGGGTCGGAGGCGATAATTGTAACAAATTTGAATTATAGCTCAGTTAACTTCAATATCTTTCATTTACCGCTGTTTTCAATGTTGATAGAGAAAATGCGGAGACGTTGATTTCAATAAAGATATATTTATTTTATTTACATTACGTAAACATCATAAAACTCATCTAGTAAATAATAACAAAATATGTCACAATAATATCACATTATTTAAAAACACACTACTTATCATTTATCAATGTATCAATACACCGCTAGCTACTTACACACAAGTTCAAGTTCACTTCCGGTCAACAAGGGGTAAAGGTCACCTCTGGTCAATATCAATTTTAAAACTGGACATGTCTATAACTTCAGTAAATAGCTAATGTAGAGAAACATGTAATTGACAATTCGCCATGGTACCGACGAGCTAAATATTACTATTGCCTTATGCTCTACATATGATCACTACACACAGATACGTTCTATTCCAAGTTATGCATTTAGGGTATAAATTAAACACCGAATTTCGTCAACGGTACTGAAAAAATGGACATAATGTCCCTCGTTTCACTTCTTTGTTTTTCGCCAATATTCCGGGATCCATTTTTCATTTTAATTATCATTTCCTTCGTTTCCATATATATCATCAACCCGCTTTATAAAGCCAAAACTTAGCTCGACCAATCTTGACATTATATCGCAGTTTTAGTGCATACAAAATATGAACTATCATGATCCATTAAAAAAAATCTTAGACGCAGCTTTACTAATAATTAATTTGAATGGAAAAATATATAGTAAAAGATTTATAGAAATACTAGATATGCATGCTGTGAATTAGCTATTGACTTTGATGTTGAATACCGCGCATGCGCTGATACATGTTTATATTAACACCGGAAATGACGACAGATGCGACCAGCAGTTCATGAATATTCACATCCTGAGTTATAAATTATGCATTGCTCCGACCATGGTCTAAAAATTGTATATGAGGCAAATACAAACGACCTACACAACTCATGTATTATTGAAAATGATCTGGAACGGGTGTTACTAAAGAAACAAGATTGAGGACTCTCGTCATGATTGAGAACGTATCTCCTTGATTGTTGCTCTTATTAGGGAGGAAAAAACAAGTCCGGCCAGTACACAAGGGAAATGTAACCATTTGTTCTTGTTAAGGATCTTAACGGTCAAGATAGCCACTGGTCAAATCCTTCAGTCCTTTCTCGGCAATGGCGCGGCTCCGTCGTTAGCCTCTGTGTACGGGGGAGGACTTTCTGCGGAACCGCCGAAATCTAAAACACACGTAATTCAAAGATTACTCATCAAAAAATGACTTAATGTCAATATTGTACATGTCGAAAAAATCTAACACAGTTAAATATGAGAACTTCAAATAATTGATTTAGTAGGACAAATATAGATCCCATATTCATTATCTTAAATAAACTGAAGATTGACAAAAGCAGGTTCAAATTGATATAGCGTCCATCTTTATATATATGTACACTTGTTTTGTTTTATTATCCGTAAAAATGGTTATAAAACAAATAAAAATAAAGTCTGTTTTCTAAATACTATTAATAATATACCAAGTAATAGCTACGATTACTAACGAGTGTCTGAATTACAAGATAGAAATAAAACGTATTCGACACATATTTGTAGAGCATGTTTTACATGCAGGAAATGCATCGGACAACGTCCTTAACTAAAATCAATATTTCGATAAAAGTAAAGGTGATCTAATGCAATGGACAAAAAACGTTATTGATTTTTTTAGAGAAAACTCTCGAACAGATTGTCCTTCTTTTTAAGTAGACTTTAAATTTCCAAATATCATGTTCTGATTTTGTTTTGTTTTAGAATTCAATGCTTACTTGTAGGCATTGCTGACTGCTGTTGTTGAGAATATCCCGGTTGCTGAGGGAATCCTTGTTGCTGGGGATAGCCCTGTTGTTGGGGATACCCTTGTTGCGGGGGATACCCCTGTTGCGGTGGGTATCCCTGCTGTGGTGGGTACCCCTGTTGTGGTGGGTATCCCTGCTGTGCGAGATATGGTGGCGCACCCTGGTAACCTCCTGAGGCGTAGTATCCAGGGGACATAATTGATCCACCAGAGGGCGGTGCTGTGGGGTTCTCAAGATTTAGTCTCACCGTCGTTGGTCCTAAAACGTAAAGTTATACTTTAGAATTTATGAAATAAAGACATGAAAACGAGACTAACGCAAGTTTAAATAAACTTAATCAGTCTATATATTAGTAAAACACTATCTTATTACAGCATCAACAACTTAAAAATCCATATGGTTTTCAATTTACATAAATGTGAAATTCAGCCATTCTTAAGATTCTTAACGAAATAAATCCCTTTAATTTAATTCTGTTATCTTTAAAAATATATATAATATATGCACTGTGTAAATATAGTATAGGCAGATCCATATACAAATTCACAAGTAGGTTTTATAATTTTTGTTCCTATTATTTTCTTCCAGTGCTGTCGGCACAGTCCATAGTCAATATAGAAAGGGAGACAAATCAAATCTGTAAATATTTCTTCAAATTCTACCTTAAATCACTTCGAGCAACAGAAAGCTACTATTTACAATATCCGGATGGTCAACAACATGAATGAATACCAAAAACAGTATCGTTATCAAATATTACGTTTAAAACAATTAAAACTGTAATCTGTAGCAGCATGTATAGTTCATTTTAATTATGTAACGTTTCGTTTCTGAGATATTTCAGCCAAACCTTACCCACGGTCGTCTGTATGTACGAGCCCTGTGGGCCATTTCCGGCAACAATTTGCGGCCCTAGAGGTCCTTGGGCTGCCCTGATACGTTGACACTCCTCACTGGCCCTGTTGAAGTCCTTTACCAAACTCGGGATTCTGCACATGTCTATGAGCCAACCAACGCCGAGAAGTCCGAAAGTAAACAGATAGAGGAATCCCCAGCCTGGACGGTTAAGATAGAAGTGATGAAATCCGAGGAAACCGCATGGAAACCATAGGAGATATGCATCGTCAACATATCGAGTTTCTCGAATAATCGTTGACTTCCGGTTCTCGTTGTATCGCTTCACGAGAATTGGCATTCGGAACCAGTCAACAATATAGCCGACTCCAACAAGTCCAAAGGTGAAGAAGTAGCAGAATCCGAAGAGATAGCGGTTCAGGTAGAAGTGTTGACCCCCTAAGATTCCGAAAGGAGAAATGGCGAAAAGCATGCCCATACTCGTTGACCTTTTTCCCGGATCACGTGTTCCTGAGTTGGCATTTTTGACATATTTTGGGATTAAAAATAGATCAAGAAGCCAGCCGATCCCAAACAGACCGAACGAAAACAGGTAAAGAGTTCCAAGTGCATAGTTCCTCAAGTAGAAATGATGAAATCCTGAAATTAAACAGAAATGAAATGTAAAACAGATTGCTGAATCGTACTTAATTTTTTTTGGATAAATTGAGAGAAAAAAAGGTTTACTGATTTATTACTCCCAATAAATTATTCCGGATAAGTTAATGTCCGATAAATATCGTTAATTGACTTTTTCTAGCAAACGAAATTAGTGATATATTTCTTTTGTAAATAACCTAGGAATTTGTATTCGCGAAAGCGACAGTAAAATGCAAGTCCCCCATAATTGCTATACATAAATGTGTATTAACCCCACGCGCATGGTGAGAAGGTATACCATGTTTTTAAAAAGAAAATTGTGAATCACTCTCGAGCAAATCTTCTCTAACTGGAACTTGTAGGTCCTTCTTGAAAATTAACTCACAACTCGAACGGATACCGTAAATCTCTTTCTTTTCGCGTGTGCTTTTAATTCGCAGATATTTCCTGTAGGTTTTATTAGTGAATAATCGATTTCGCGTTTGAGAGAATGCTATTTCAATATTGATGATAACTTTAAATGCAGTCATCATCCTAAGAAGAAGGTTTAAAATTCTCAAATGGGTCCCCTCGAGATAATTAACGAGAGAATTAACGTCTCACGAAAAACACCGATCAGTGGTGTATAGTTTAAAAATCAGGGTGACTTAACTTTTGCTTTTTTTTACTTTAATTCTTTTTTATTGTCCAAATGGGTACAAAGGATTTGGCACAACAAGGTATTGCAACTTATGAAGCCGTCTCCTATCAACACTTAAATAACAAGTGATTACATAGACAGATCATTACAAATAATACAAGTAAAGGTAGAAAGTCAAAAACGACATATATGCATACATCGTGGTGAAACAATACTCCTGAGAACACCCCCC